ATATATATATATATGGATAAAAAAAAATATATATATATATATCCATCCCTGGGATCTTGAGACAGGATCTCCCTAAATTGCTGAGACCGACCTTGAACTTCCTGTCCTCCTGCTGAGCTCAGGAGTCTCTAGAATTACAGGTGCGTGCCACCAAGCCCAGCTTTTACTTTTACTTTTTATATTTCCTTATTCTAATTCTTTATTCCTTATTCTCCTCTTCTGCCATGTTTATTCAAAATTGTTGGTAGGGCATTACTTTTATCCAATGCACTTTTATAACTATTATTTTTCTCTTTTAGATGATGATGATAATGATGGTGGTGGTGGTACTGGGGATTGAACCTAGGGGCGTCCCATCACTGAGCTACACCCCCAGCATTTTTTTTTTTTTTTTTTTCTATTCAGGCCCCTGCCACCTGCATGATGCCCACCCACACTGAGATCAGAACATTCCTACTCATTTTTTTTAGAAAAGGTCTTGCAAAATTGCTGAGGCTGGCCTCTAACTTGAAATCCTATCTCCACCTCCAAAGTAGCTGGGATTTCAGGTGTTTGCCACCACTTTCTGCTTAGAACTATTTTTTTTTTTTTAAGATTCCAAAATTAGATACTTTCTAATACATTTGTTTTCACCCGTATCCATTGCTTTTCCTTACTCTTTATTTAAAAAAAAATCAAAAGAAACAATTTTTTTTTTACATAAATATCAAAACCATTTGAAGGTAAGTACTTTTCTTTCCCAGCTACTAATGTCAGTACATTTCTGTTGATGATTATTTGGAATAAACATGCTTTTACAATAATACCCAAGGTCAGTGTAAGTGTCCTGATATGTTTTGAAATGTTAGTTACATTAGTTAAGGAAGGCTACTTGCCTGGGATACTATTTATTAATAAAAATATTGTATTTGCAAAATCTTTTGTTTCTAACAATAGGAATACAGATATGTTAATTTCTATTGTTTTATTACTTAAATACCTGAGTTGTGCTGTGAATAATTGGCTAAAGATATATCCCTTTTCATTGTACATTTCACCTTATCTTTCTAAAAATTTAATAGGGTCATTTTACATTCTTAAAGCAGTACAGTAAAATAGTTTAAATGCAAAATGAGCTTAAATGCTACTCAATTCTTCTACTGGAAAATCCTAGAAAACAACTAATGAAATTCAATTTATACTTTTAAAATTCTAATTATATGTCACATTAAACTGAAGGTGAGAATAAAACTGCTGCATCTGTTAACTATGTCAAGGGATGTGTTACATCATACATGTTATTTAATGTGCAAGTGTAAAAGTCAAGTTCCCTGCAGAAATCCAAGTGCCTCCACTTTGTCTTCAGGGAATGTATAAATTAACCATTCTCTCTCAAGTCGTCCTCCTCCCTTCCTCCCTCCACCCTATTTTAAATGTAGATAGGGCGTACCAAGTCTTTTGAATTTGAAGGGCTGCTATCTCGGCCCCATTCTTTTCATCATCCTGTTTTGAATGACACTGAGCACGTATAGATTCTTTTATAAAAGCACCCCCTGGATGCGGGGCTCAGTCCTCCAGGCTGCTGGCTAATTTTGCATAGCAATTAGTACTGACTTCTCCAAGTCTGCAATCCAAATACAGCTCGAGAACGTTCAACAGAGTTCCTCAAAGGTCCTAGATAACCGAACCCTGTGCCTTTTGATTTCAAATCCGTAGGGGAGGAACTTGCGTAATTACTAAATTCCCAATTGGAGTGGTCTGGTGGAGGATATGGTAATCCAAAACTATACGTTAATTCAAACCCTCGCCGCGACTGGGCAGCAAGGAGCTAGCATATGCCTTCTTTTAAAATCTATTCTACCTATTCAGTGACCGCGCAGGGCTGGGCCACATGGTCCTGTCTTACAGCCAGTCAGCTGTGAGCAGCAGATGGGATCATTTGCATTTTTCTCTTTATACTTTCTTCGATCGGCAAATTAAAGGATTTTTAAAGAAAATTTACATTCTCATTGTTTGCCTAACATACTAACGTGTCCTAAATGTTGAATTGGGTTTCCCTCTCACTCTCCCTTAGTCACTGAGATTTGAGAAAATACCCGAGGCGTAGGTTTCCTACTTTTCAACTTGGAACCTACAATCCCGGAGTTAGGAGTAGACAGAATCAGTCTTTACTGAGTTAGTGACTAGTGTTTTTGTTTTAAGCGTTCCACGCAGATATCCCGTGGGTTTATGTTGGTGGCGTGTGTGGGAACGCGCATGCTTCTGAAGCTTTCGTCCTTAACCTCAAACGTAAAAACTTCGGGTTGCAAGTAGAAGGCAGATTTTTAGCTCTTAAGGCTTACAACCGAGGCGGCCAACCCGCTGGGGGAGTGGCCAGAGCCAGGGTTTCCCAGCGCCGGGGTCGCTCTCCCGCGTCCCGCCGGACTCCATGCCCGCTCCGCGGGACCGAAGGGGGCACAGCGCCCCGATGTCTTTGTGCTGGCCGCGGCGCGGGAAGACCGGGCCGGGTGTCCAGAGCCACGGCCGAAATGCAAAAAATTCGGGAGAAGTGCGGACCCGAGCGTGAAGACGTTTCCTACTGTTGTCGTCCCGCGGGGGAAAAAAGTAGAAGGAGGCATTTCGGGCTAAACTGTGGAGTCTGAGAAACCACGTT